AAATTGGGCTCTTCTTTTTTTTCTTCTATCAGGATAAATTTTAGGGATTTATGATTTGTGTAGTTTTATTATTTGTTGTTACTTTAAAACTTTTTCTAGTAACTATAAATGTTACTATGAACTAGGAAAAATCACTTTGAGTCTGTTGCATCAGTCTAGCATCACTTTGTAAGAGCACAAGAACGGAACTAAGTGTTCCATGTTTCTGTTTCCTGCTTTGCTATGACATTGCTTTTTGTTGCAGTACAGAGATCCATCTTCTCTCCATGACTGTATTTTGTCCAGATGCAAATTGAGGCAACTCATTAGATCAAAAGAGAGCTGAACCACAACTGAATTCTGCAAAAACGTACTATTGAAGTGCAAAATATTATCTAACCAAGCAGAAAACTTCAGCCTTAACTTAAGATAGTTAGGTGCCATGTCTTCCAAAAAATGATTCATTGCAAGACTGAGGGATTTGTATTTGAAGTACAGAAAAGAATCCTTAAAGAAGGTATCTGAACAATGGTAAGAAAAAGCAGTTATACTTGTCTTCTCATCAGTCTGCTATTCTCATTTACATGCTGTGAAAGACTTCAGGAAAAAAAAATGTTATTTTTTGTTTAAGTACCACTTTGATAGTTTTTTTTTTTCCCTTGCAAATTTTTCTGCCAGTCTCTCTAACGCTCTAAACTTTCAGTCATGCAGACAGACAAGGGTGTATGTTTCAGTGCACATAGGTATGTAGAGATGCAGAGCTGCACTGTTTCCCCTCTCCATCTCAATCTCCCGGTCTTTGTCTAGCTAGCCCTAGCTATCACCTCTGCATTACCTTAAAGGTTTTCCTTCCTGTCCTGTTGGTAGGGTCCAGAAAAACTGTTGTTCTTCTCCTGACACAAGAAGGAAAACATTTCTTGTGCTTTTCTTTCCTTGCATCACCAAACACCAAAACCTTAGAACAAGTATTTGGTATGGTTTGACCATTCAGTTGGCAGATGTGCCGAACAGACCTGAACTCAGGTTTGTGTTCGCAAACATTAATTGCAATCGTGCATTGAAACACCAAAGAACAGTCTAGGGTCCAGATCAGCTGGAACTGGCAGCAGGGCAGCTGCTGGGGTACTGTATACTCTGGGTAGGTTGGGGTGAGCAATCCTGCAACAAAATGAACAGCAGCATTAAAAAAAGCTATCCAGGGATGCTTCTTAAAATTTTAACGGCCGAGGAGTATACTTTTACTTCACATAAAAGCAAAGTAAATGTGTGTTGCATAAAGTGTACTTTTATTTTGGTGGTTCTTTATTGTTTTCTGCTTTGTAACAGGTGCCATCTTTGATACTTCTCCCATTTCTGCTCTTCTCATTTCTTCAACTAAAATTATTTACTGCAGTAACTTCCAAAGAGGAAGTTGGAAATTTAATGTGATTTGAAGTCTGTGTGATAAGTGCTAATAGAATTTTTTTTTATTAGTTCTTTTGACCAATTTTTTTTTTCCAAAAAAAATATAAACCTTGTGAAATTAAAATAAGTTCAGGCTTTCCATAATTATTATCTCACAGTAAATTTGAGAAGTAATTATCTTTCTTTTGAATTGGAATGAAAGCAGATATTGAAAAGCTTTCGTTGGGAAATGATTGAGCTGAATTTGAATTCGGTTTGGATCTGATGTTGTAGTGAATTCCAGTAACGCTTCTGAGCCTGTAGCACAGCATTTGCTTTTATGACTAGTACCTGCTAACCACACTGATTTCAGCTAAGGGCATCTGTTACTGCAAGCAAGGGGTCAACTTTAAGGAATAAAATGTTACATGAGGGATTATCTTGTTCTTAATTTAACACCTTCTCTCCGTAAATATTTTATTAACATAAACAATGTACTCTACAGAATTGTGGCTTTAAATTTAAATTTTCTTTTATTTTTAATGATCTGCTTTGAAATTAATCCATTTTGTTGAACTTTCTATTCCTGAGTAAATTAATTGAGTTTGTCTGAATATGAGCTCTAAAACACAGGAATGTCAATTATTTTTTCAATTTCTTTTTACTCTCCTTTGCTTCTCTTGGGTGTTTTTGCTTTTGCCCGAGAGGTAGACTTGAATTACCCCAAAGAACTGTGTTGATTTTGATGCATTTTCGAATACATGGAATGACTGGTTTAGTTTGGATGCTGTTTCATCTGTAATCTGTATCTACAGATTGATAAAAGAGGAGCCTGACCTCAGCATTGCCTTGTATTTATTTATCAATCTGTAGTCACTAGAATATGTATTATGTGTGTTAGTTTTCATTCTTCCATCCAGAATCTGAGTAGTAATTTACACTTTTCATCTCTAGGTCTGAAAAAAAAGATATAAATACATTGGACATGGTAATAGTTTTAATTGTACTCGAACAGACCAGGTAGAAGAGCCACAGGAAAATTAAGTCACAGGCCTATGCCCTGTCATTACGGGAAATAAATGGGAGACTTGGCAGAAAATCTGAGAGTCTGCCTTCATTCCTGGGACACAGCCAGTCGCTAACAGTTTGCATTAATGTTGTCAAGCTTGGTTCCTTGCAACAGCTGGATTTCAAAAGAATGCCTCCTATTTGGGCAGGCATAGGCACGGCCCCAGCCTTGCTCCCGGAGGCTTCACATGCAAGAGTCTGGGTGTAAGAGCAGTTCCCAAGGGAAGGGGAAGAGCCCTGCTGAGAGACAGTAGAGCTCTTTGATGGAGCTTCTTCTAGGACTTGTTTCTTTGAAGGCCACTGGCTGCACTGTCTGTAATGCTGCCAAATCCTTGGGAGGGGAACGTGGTTTAAGGGCCCAGAGACAAAGTACAAAATAGGTGAAAGGCCTCCTCCTAGCAGAATGTGGTTTTAAGTGATTTGGAAGAAGAGAAATCTGTTGGGTTCTTGCTACGACATCTAGAAGTAAATTTGTAGGATCAGTGACTTAATCCATGGAAGCAATGGGAGGAAAAGCTGATACTCCATCTCAAATTTCTAGAATTGCTGTTTCCAGAGTTTACTATTTTCTTTGACCTGAATGGCAAGTGAAAGTGTGATGTAAACAGCAGACATGCAATGCCTTTGTGATGGCTCTGTATGTAATGAAAGTGGGCCGCCTTGCTTCTGGAGAGAAGTAAACATTTCGGCTATAAAGCTTTTTCGTGATTTGCAGAAGTCCTAGTGTTGTTCTAGTGTTGTTCTGTCACTCTAACAATGTCATATTTTTAATAAAGGAGCTTCAAAATAATGTTGCCGATAAATTCAGCTTAGCTTTGCCTCAGACTCTTTCTCCTGTGAAAGATCAAACGTTTCCTTTACAAATTTAGTTTCCTTTTTGCAGACACATTGTGATACCTTGGCATTAACAAACAAATTAGGAATATTGTCTGAATTTCGTTGTGCTCATTCTAGAAACTAATACTTGATAGTGGTTTGATTTAGAGTGTGATTAGAAGGTGAATATTAGTTCAGCTAAACCTCCCAAAACAAGCGTGCTGCTAGTAGTTCTGTTATACTCTGCTTCTTAGTGTGTTTTTAATGTGCTTTGTGTTTCATCGGTCATGGGTATTGACAAACAGTGGCTAAATGTTTATGAAGTAGGACTGAAGGCTAAAATATAATTATATGTATCCACTACGCATTTTAGGTCCTAATCTTGTAACTGCTTTAATAAGGAGAGGTGTTTTTCTGAGTTTGCTTATTAGGATTATTTGCATGCTGGGAGCAGTTTATTTGGGTAAGTATTTGTAGAATTGAGCTTCTGAACTTAAGGTGCTTATGAGAAAATCACAGGTCTTCCATAGCACGAAGTTATGGGCTACAAATCCAACTTTGTTAGCATTCAATGTTTTCTCTAACTCAGTCATAAAGAACTATATTTAACTGATATTTAAGATCCACTTTAATGCAAATGTGAGGATTTACTCATAATACATATTATAGGACAGAAAGAAAAACACTGATTATTTTTTTATTATTATTATTGATAACTTACCATTGTAGTATCAAAATGCCTTACCCAGAACATTGATCAGTGCAAATAATATCTGCTCAATATTGTTCTTTCACCTTTTTCCCAAGAAGAAAATTTTGGAAGCTTTTTAAGCACAGCAAAATACTATTTATATTAGAGAAGGCAAATCAAAATAATGTCCCCTTCTACTTGTTAGGATTTTTGTTTGGTTATACATTCCCCTGACTGGTGTAGGACAGAATTACTCTGTTGTTGACCCTAACTGTAGACATCTTTGTAAGACCGTAGCCTTTGAAGGTGGCTTCATCTTTGCAGTCACTCACTGGATTGTAATCACCTTCTTGCTGTTAAATTTTAAGGCAGTGAAAATGGTTTAACTCTTAAGTCATTTGTACATAAAAGCCTTTGAATTATTTGTAGGTTTCCTAGAATACTTTTGATGATCAAGTTGGGAATTATTTTTTTTTTTTTTTAATTGGACTCTGAATAGACAGAGTGTGAACTGAACTACTTCATAAGAAGCCATGGTACTTCTAAACAGTGATACTGCTGACAGGAACTCCAGAATTTACAGAGAGGAATGTGAAAAACACTTGTTGAAGTTATGCCACACAGTTACTCTATGTTTAAGAGGCAAAAACATGAAGCATAATGAAAATAACTTTCCTGACATGGATGGAACTGTGCTAGCTTTTGCTGCCCAAGAATCCAGACTTCCAGGTGAAATTTCATACTGTGTCCAGCACAAGTTTTACATATTGTAGGAACTCAAATTAAGCATTTGAGATGGTCTTAAGAAGCATCTTGCACCAATTCCACAATATGTATGTTTCATACCTATTAATATGGGAACAAAAACTTTCACATTTACAGGTAAGTCCACAGCTGGCAAGAATCTTTCTGACCTCTTATATTAGATGGTACAGGAAATCTTGTCCTTTGACTTGAACTGTTAATTTGGCAGCTGCTTGATATGTTTTATTCCTGTAAAGGCAATTTTAAAGGGAGCAAAGTCTGACTTACTGATATCAATTTATTTCTCTCTTCAGTGGAAAGATGTATGACTTCCATGCAAACTGGTACCCAAATGATCAAACTCCGTGGCAGTTCCAAAGGTTTGGTCCGCTTCTATTACTTGGATGAGCACAAGTCATGTATTCGCTGGAGACCCTCTCGAAAGAATGAGAAAGCTAAAAGTGAGTGTTGGCCACGGAACCTTTCTTCTGATTCCTCCTAGGGTCTTGCTTGCTTATAAACAAACGATCATGGAGGATTTAGCTTGTTCACAGGTGATCAAGAAGAATGTTGTATTTGAATTTAAAGGACAGTAAATGATTTTATGATTAATAGTTTATGAAGATTAAGTTACTTTTGCTAGTTATGCAGGTTGCAGTAATGTAGTATGTTGTAAGTAAGTTGCAGGCAAAACCTGTGTGAATTGGGGACCTTGCAAATAGTATGTTGTAAATAAGTTGCAGACAAAACCTGTGTGAATTGGGGACCTTGCAATGTGAGGTTTGGGCCCTTTCTCTACAGGATTTCTCTACAGGATAAATGCATCCTGTCTGGCCTAGAGCACGCACACAGTCATTAATGAACTATGTGCTTTTGTCATTCTAGTTTCGATCGACTCTATTCAGGAGGTTTGCGAGGGGAAGCAATCAGAGATCTTTCAACGCTATGCCGATGGCAGTTTTGATCCCAACTGCTGCTTCAGCATCTACTATGGAGACCACATGGAATCTCTTGACCTTGTATCTTCCAGTGGAGAGGAAGCACGCACCTGGATCACAGGGCTAAAATATCTGATGGCAGGGATAAGTGATGAAGACAGCCTCTCAAAACGCCAAAGGACCAGAGACCAATATCCTTCTTATACCATCTGAGAGTATTTCCCCGTGGTGGACAGCTATCAATAGCATAGGGATTCCTTTAAGTATTTGTTTTGCTAAAAGTAAGCACTAGGCTCAAAGCTTCAAAGTGGTTCCCGTTATATTCCTTGTTTCCAGAGACAGAGGAGTCCTTGAAGAAGATTGTTCTGGGCAAGATTTGGAGATGAATGACTGCAGTGGGCTGAAAAACATATGGGTATATTCTTTCATCGGTTACTCCCTGTGTAAAGCTGTCCATTTCATTTGGTTGTACAGGACAAAGTGTGATGCAACATTGCGATTCTCTCAGAAGTTAGTTATTCCGTGCTGTAGTATGGGTATATAGCATGTGTTGCATGTTGAGCACAGAAAGTCTAGAAATGGTTACTGAAATAACATGAGTAGAGTTATATCATACCTTACCTTGAACTTTCTTTTGTCCCTAGTCTCATATACAGTCTTTCCCAACATGAAAAAAACCCCCATATATACATAATGTTCAGTAACATCCCTTCATATTCCATGCTGTTCCTTAACTCCTGTTCAATGTGGTTGAAGCAGACATTTGATGAGGCAGATAAAAATGGTGATGGCAGTCTCAGTATTAGTGAAGTGCTCCAGCTAATGCACAAACTGAATGTGAACCTACCCCGACAAAAAGTCAAGCAAATGTTTAAGGTAAGAAATGAATTTATTTTTTTTTTCTAAAAGAACAGTAATTGAGCTGCTGGAGTTTTAACATGAAACCTAGTAGGAGAGATTGTAAATACTTCAGCAGCTGGTTTGTTTCCACTCTGCTGAGAGATACTACACAGTCCATTTGGTAAATTGAAAAGAGCTCCAGAAACACGTCATAGATAAATTGTTATTCATAGAAAAAGGCATTACACCAGGTACCTTTGGGTATTGCATAACATAAAGACACACAGTACAAAGATTGCTTTTTTGCTATACTTGTTGATCTGAAACTCAGTCACATCTCCTCCTCTGATTATGTTCTCTCTAATAAGTATTATCTAGTAAAATATCCTTCAATAACTGGTACTAATAAAATATACAGTATGTAAACTTCCATATCTGTCATGCGTTTTGCACTGCTAAGAGCTATTTGTTTGACATTGCATTCTACTGACTTTGACCCAGTTTATTGGGCAACTGAACTACGCAGATGTGTATGCTTTTGTAATCAAAAAGACTGTTTTGTGAAGGACTTAATCAGAAGTTGAATCAATAGTTTTCAGCATAGTGTACTACCATGACTTTTGCACTACACTGAGTTGGGGACATCTCAGCATAATTTTCTGGCAGCTCTGGTATTTTAAAGAATGTTCTCTTGTAGAGGCTGCGAGAGATCGTTTTAGAGAAAACTAAATACTGGAATTTCAGTAGCACTGAAAGGGATCAAATACTTATCTACCAATGGCTTTCTAGACAGTCTAAATCTGTCCAAGGTATTGTGTGTAGCTGAATGCTTAAGTTTTGTCTAACTTTAGGCAGAGAAATGTTCTAAGCCCAATTTCATAAAACTAAAGCAGGAATAAGTGAATTGCCTAAGGTCACACAAAGACCTGTGACAAGGCAAAGGTAATTCTGTCCTCTGTTGATGCTTGAAGACTTGAGCCATCTTTTATTCTAAGCATTTACTGAGGTTGTACAAATCCTGGGCAGTCTGCAATCAATTTAAGACTGATTAAAGATTTCTTAAAGTTCATGTTGTCATTTTCCAAAGTGTTTCTTCTTGTTTTGAGCAATTTTTCCTGGTTTGATAAAGTACTTACGGAATGAAACTGCCCGGACAGATATTTTTTCCTGTTGCTGTGTGACCACTTTGAAACAAGTAGTCCTTTTGGTATTGCAAAAGTGTAAAAATTCCTTTTTTATTTTTAATCTTTCTTCCAATGCACTAGGACAAGAACATTAGAAACCTTCAGTCCTATGAAACAGAAACCTGAAATCATATCAGAGTCTTTGAAATCATTTTACTGATTCATGCTAGTGAATGATTGCTCTCATTTTGACATGATCTCTGCTAAGATGTAAAAATTAGACTCTGTTTATTGTTTAGGAGGGCTCTGTACCATTCTTCTGAATTTAGTATTGCCTAGAGAGTATTACCTACCTATATGTGAAACTGATCCATATAGAGAGGGACGGTAAGAAGTGTAAACCCTAAGCTTCGAGGTTTAGATGGTATTAAGAACCTTGAATGAAAAGCACTTTTGCTAATGACAGCCACTAATTATAGAATTGTTCCATTGCTAAAGAATAGTAAAAAACAAAAAGAAACAGTCAACTGAGGCTTTATGATACGGTTTATAAATCTTGTGCAAATAAATTTTAGTATGTCAGCTCTCGTTCCTTAATAAACCACCATAATGTTCCATAGCTCAGTGAGTCCAATGTGCAGACCTCACAGAAACATGGTTTCCTGCACAATATGGGCAGCTTTGTGTGGGATCAAGGGGAAGTTAAGAACAGTGGCAGTCAGCATGACTTTTGGTAAGTCAAGTAGTTTAACATGAAACTGAACAACAATTGGATGGGTGATTTTGTGTTCAGTTTGGACACGAAGCTTTCATTCCTGTAACTTATTCCTGAAAAAAGAAAGGAAGGCAAAATGATCTCTTCCCTTGCTTAGAAACCAATGTAGTCACTGCATTTTGCCATGGACAGTCTTTATAGGCCCACTTTATGACCTCTGATTATGGCCTCTTAACTATAGCAGAAGAGAAGAGTGCTAGAGAGTAAAAAAGAGTGTAGCTTGGAAATTTTCTGACTAGTTTGAGGAAAAAATGGCCTTGAAACCTTCCTTCCCTTTCGTGGCTGTATGTATTTATTCTAATGCCTCTGGGTTGAAAATATTTTTAACTTGCACCTCTTTCTGCTCTTTCTTTCATCCTGCCGACAGCTGATGCTGAAGCCTTCCTGGTTGCATCTTATGTGCAACGTAAATTCCTTTGTGGCTCCACAATGGTAAAATAGGCTCAAATGAAGCATGGAAAACAGGATAACTCTGTAAACCACAGCAACTCAAGGTTATGGGGAGGGAAGGAAAAGCTATTGGAAAGTTCCCAGTAATCAGCTGATACAGATTGTCCTAGTGTATCATCAGGCTAATATTTTACCCATCATTTGGGTGGGTTGTTCTTTAGGAGCAGAAAATCCTACAAAAAAAGAGTTTGCAGCTAGAGGAGAAATTTATACAGAAGTTTAGAAGTACAGTTAAAATGCTTGAGTGTTTTTTCTGTATGTTACTGAATAAAAGAGAAGTAAAAGGTTTATAGCACACAGATGCTCCTGGAAGCTGGGTGCTTGTTTACCTTGGGCTGCTCTTACTATACCAGCCCTCATTTTGATTACCGTTTACTGTTTCTGTTGCATAAAATTTATGTGGACCAGAATAAATTTTGAAAGTAGATTTGCCCATGCTGTTGCACACTACTGCATCATAACACCACAGACATTTCCAAATAGAAAAAGAAATTTTTTGAAAGGAATGCAATTCTAGTCACCAGGAACTTGTAAATACCCTCTCCTTTGCCTTTGCTTTTGTTTGGGGAAGAAAAAAAAGTCCGTTTGTGTCTTTCAGTTCTGCAGGTGATAAATGAACCAATTGATGGATTAAGACCTGTATGGTTATGACCCTAAACTATTTACGTGCGGCTATTGTATTAAACAGCAGTTTGTGCAAAACAGATGTCTTCTGTCAACTGAAAGTTCTTTAAATTCCAAAAGAACTGGCTTTTGGGATGACTGTTTGTAATCCCATTGCTGCAAGAGTATGTGCTACTGTGGTAGGTCCTGGTTGTTTCTGTACACAAAACTGCTACCTCCAGGCTGCAGGCTCTACCTTGTGAGAGTATTGGAGGCAAGGACTTTTCAGCTATTTTAATTTTTTCTGATGCAATATCTGGACAGAGTATGTGTGTACCTTAAGAAACATAATGTACATTTTTAGGTGCCTGAAAGTCTCAGTTGGAATGGCAGCTGTTTGAGCACTGCTTCGTGTTTACTACAAAGTCATGCTAGTCTAGTGATTGCTGGATTTTCAATAATTCAGTTCTGGGACACATTCCAGGCTCAAAAGCCTTTGGGAATCACGCATGTACAGCCAGAGAAAACCAAGGGGTTTTACCTGTTACTTTTTTTTCCCCTTCAATTTTTTTCTTTCATACTGGCAAATACTAGGCTTAAGGGTGTAGTTCAGTGAAGAACTGAATTTGAAAACTCATTAAAATTAGTAGATTAAAGTGACTCTTTTTCCAGGATGAGCCATTAGGTTTGATGTGAGCCAAATAGAAGAGACTGGGTAAAACTTTCCTGGGAAAAAAATTGCACTTATTGTATGCTGTGTTCTGGTTTTACCGTTTGTAATCAACAACAATTACTTCACGTATCGGGTGCTTTGGAAATGCTATTAACAAACAAGAACAGGTTTTGCTTTTTCCACATGCAATGCATAATTGAAACTGAGCTGGTCTCAACTGAAAATATAATTGCTATTTGATCGCTTAGAATCAGAATATTAAGCAATCTTGAAATTGAAAATCAAATCTCTCAGTTAATGAAATAGCTACACCAGATTATATGTAGTTCTTGAAGAAAGTTACCTTGAATTTTTCTAGTTAAAAAAGCACTGAGTTGTTTAAAAAAATCTTGTCATAGTTACAATGGGAAAAGCCATTTATTAGCTACTTCTTGCTCACAAATGCATTCATATTTTCACCTGGGGTTCATTTCTAAAGAAGCTACATCTATGACTTCATGACTCCTCATTCTTCCAGTCCCTTCCTCCAGAGTACTGTCAGCTTCAGTGCTGTAGCTGATCCAGGCTCTGAAACTGCTGAAGTGTGAGACTGGAAAAAGAGACAAAATAGTGAGGGCTACCAAGATTAAAGAGTAGGGAGCAAGTGCGGGGTGTCCTTTGGGAACAAGGAAAGAGGAGGCTGTTTGTGTACATTTTGAAGAGTCTCTGTGGGTGCATTAGAATAAATTGCAGGGTTATGGCAGTACTTTGTTCTTGGGCAAGTAACTGTGAATCTATGTCAGCTTGCCAGGACAGAAGTGCTTTGTAAAGGCTGTTAAGTGCTCCTGTCCGTGGCTGTGAGAGCTTATTATCAGCGTTTTCCTCAACTCTGATACATGTGCATGTGTATGGCAGTACATGAAGGAAATTCGGTGAAAAAGATGAAGATTTGGTAAAAACTTGCCTAATTTATTTATTTTTAAGTTTTGTGGCCTGAAATGTGCTTGAACATGTCTACAGTGAAAGTGAGCAAAGCAATATGCTGATAACTCCTTTATTGAGAACAAAGTAGGGAGTGCTGGATAAGCTTTTTCATAAAATATGCAAGCGTTGTCTATCCTATTTGGGAAACATTGCACCGTCCCTTTTTCATACTTTCCCCTGGCAGAATTTCTCATTCATTTTTCCATGCTTCTAGGAACAGACTTTTAGGAAACACAGTAATTCTATAATCTCTCCTCTAAATATTTGTATCACTGGGTGGATCCCATTGTGATCAGACTCTCACAAGATTTCTTTGAAGAAATTCTATCTCCACTGTGTGCAAACAGTAAGTAGTATTGCTGATACAACTGATCGTGGTTTGGATCACAGGCTGGGGCACCTGACCCCCAAAAGTAAAGAACCAAGAAACATACATGTTGTAGGGGATAGATATACCAGAGAACATAGCATCATTTACTGATGATTTTTTCTTTACTTGTAAAATTAACAGATCTTATTAGTTTATGGCCATGGATTTAACAGATATCCTCTGAAATCCTGGATACAAAATTAATTTCAAAATGACTTGGATTCTAATGATCTTCTCAAGAAAATATGAATGGGTAATTCTGCCAGACGTATGCATGTTCTCTTCTATGTTGCAGGGTACGCTGTCTTACTTCATTGCCATAGATAAAAGAAGTCCTTCAAGCAGGGCTCCCTGTGCAAAAACAAAGACCTTAAAACTTGTTTCTTGGCTCATGCACTAATGCCTACATTTAAGAGGTTCAAAGGGGAAAGCTGTGCAAAGCATTCACATGACAAGCATGAACCTGATAAATCAATCTGTTCTAGCAGGCTGTACAGTGAGTAGCCATGTCAGGCAGTATCAACCTGCATTTAATTTCAGTGTTCCTTTATTCTCATGCAGGAGCTTGTTTATTTAAAGCTTGTTCAGGCTACCGCTGGGCATTTGGGTATCTCATTGCCTTATTGCTGTGTAATGCAGGAGGCTGATACAGATGATCACCAGGGCACGCTGGGCTTTGACGAGTTCTGCACCTTCTATAAGATGATGTCAACACGACGTGATTTGTACCTGTTAATGCTCACCTACAGCAACCACAAGGACTATCTAGATACAGATGACCTGAGACGCTTTCTGGAGATTGAACAGAAGGTAGGCCCAAGCCAGGAGAAGACTTCCAGCCTGCATGCATCCCCAATGGCAAACAGAAAGGCATTACCTTTTAAAAGGGGTGGCAACTTTTTTGTCATGCTGTTGAGAGGATTATTAATGTCTGGGAAAGTTTTTTGAGGATATATGGTAATACATATTAGGTTGTCTCTTAGTGCTTTAACTCTGTTGCTGGAGTGGGCCTTAAAGGCTCTTTTCCAATTTTGCTGATTTGAAACAGGTGACAAACTAGGTAATGTATGTATGCCCTGTATAATAATATGGGGTGGAGGGGTGGTGGCAGCAGCCAATAGGTAATTATAAGCATGATATTTCATGTTGCTCATGAATTGGAGACATTAAGCTCTGCCGAGATGTTAATGCACAGCTTTATAAGCTTTGCTATTCAGGTGTTGAAGTGGACCCATACATTGTGCTTACAGTTGTTTATGCACATTCAGCAAAATACAAGCAAACTATGTGCTGTGGTGCAGTAAATGTTATCCACTTGTGTTGCTGTGCTTAACAAGGGGGCTAGCCTACATCAGTCAAGTTAGAAATTTTGTCCATCAGTCACTTGTGCACATTGAAGTTACGGAAGTCCATTTTCTGAGGGTTTATATGTTTTCATGAAAAAAGGAAACTAGTGTTGATATATTCTTATTTTCTAATGGTAAAAGATAAATGTTTCTTATCTCTGTGGGTATGATGCACCATGTACATGCCCACTGATCTGCTTCCTCTGTCTCTGACTTGAACCTTTATGGCATTAGAAGTCTTTGTAACCAAGCTACCTGGAAGCCTAACACTTTTACTTCTATCCCAAATACTCCTTGGTCAGAACAAGTTTGGCTCTTTCTGGTACCTGCTAATTTGACAGACCAGAAAATGGCAAGGCATCTAATGTCTGTACCATGAGGACATGCATCCACTGGAACAGGTTGCCTGGAGAGGTTGTGCAGCCTTCAAGGCATCCTTGGAGATTTTGAGAATCAGAGTAGATAATGCCCTAAGCTAACTGATATGACCTTGTAGTTGACCTTGCTTTGAGCAGGATTTTGGGCTGGATGACTTCCTGAGGTCCCTGGATGATTCTATGACCTTTCATCTGGAGACTTGTAGAAGATTCTGAAGTGAGGATAAATAATTGGACAGCAAGATGCAGTCAATGCAGGCACAAATGCATTGACTCGTCTTTGCCTTTTTCCTCTCATGATTCTTTTGAAGCTGCATCTGTAAGTCATAAATGTCCATCAGTTTCAAATGTTGTCTAAGCAATGAACGAATAAAAAAGCCACCTCTCTGGCAATTATCTTTCTAGAGAAGTGGGATATGTTTCCATTTCATTGGTCAATTGATCCTCCAGATGGCGAGAGGAAAATGAACACTCACCACAGGACACAAATCAGCTCAGCTAATCACTGACATGGACAACTCCTGCCTGCAGGGCTTCTCTCCCTTGCCTAGTGCTACCCTTTCTCATACAACATGTACAGGGAAAACAAGTGTTCATTCTCTGTGTTTGAAACTGTACCAGAAAAACCTTCTGTTGTTCCAGAGCTTTATCTTATGTACGGGCAAATAAAGTGTTAGGCTTTTTTTCCTTCCTCTTCTTTTACTTTTATTTATTAGGTTTTAGATTACCTCCAGAAAAGGCATTGATCTGGTAGCAGACATGCTGGTGGTTTCATTTCCCTCTAAGCAAAGATTCCATGTTGCCAAAACAGTCATCAACTTGGCCACTTTATTGGCAGTCCCCTCTGGCGACAAGGGCTGCGTTTTCATGTGTCGTGTACAGCATCTAATGGAAAGGATTTGCTGGACCACTCAGGACAGAATTATTAAATAATTGTGGGGTTAATAATTAGAGGATAAATCAACAGTAAATAGCAGGAATATTAAATAACAGTGTTAAAATTGGAATATGAAAACATTGCAAGGTAAAAAAAACTACAGCTTATCATATACGGCCCTTTTTAATAAATGACATTTACAAACATATATTTCCTTTGTACTCTTCCCTTTTTCCATTGAGAATGCAAGGCAACCTTGAAGTTAGCAAATTTCCTCAAGGAGCTTTCTGAGAGCATTATGTCCTGAATCTCTGTTACCCTGCTAGCAACTGATTTTTCTGTCCGTTGCATAAAGATGAGCCATTTTCTTGTTTTATTTTAAAGTAAAAACCCTTTGATAATGCAAACTAATCCTTTAATCCTACAAGAGAAGAAATCCCATTGGTTTGTGACAAAGCTGTTTGGATGCTCTGTGTGCCTAATAACACTCTAACCAGATTTGACCTACAAAGCAGAACTCTGTCTTTATTGGCTGTGATCAGGCGGCTGACAATAGGACAGAAACTTTTCACAAAGCAGTTTGGTTCTTATCTGACCTGACACTGATTGACAGGAATGAGAATCTCACTGGGTAACTGGAAATCCTTAGTACCACTGGCCAGTTGGTAAACTATTTACAGAGAAAAGAGCTAAAAGCAGCATTGCTTACTAGTTAACGCTTCATTTTTGCTCCTTTTACAGATGACGAATGTGACTAAAGAACACTGCCTGGAAATCATCAGCAAGTTTGAACCATGCCTGGAGAACAAGAAGGAGGAAGCTTTGGGGATTGATGGTAAGCTGGCTGGTGTAGCTTTTGTAGGAGAGATGCAACTGTTTAAATGCTTACGAGAATATTGCATTCGTTTGGATAATAGTCATAGAATTTTCTCATGTTGTATAGGGTATGCTTTTCAGGGGCTTTTTTTAAATATTTATTATTTGCTCAGGAACCTAAAGGGAAATTTGTACTCTTTGGAAGATTTTTAAAGGTATATGTCATGATGAAGCAGCAGTCATTGAAGGTCAGCTGGAGCTGGGTGTGTCTTTATTTGTGCTTTTGGAAAATACAGTAGAATTAGGTGCATCATTCCTGCAAGTATTTTTGGAAATCCTTTAAGTTTTAATAAGAGGAGTGATCTGATCCAGAGTAAACAGGTGAGTGGTATGATAGACAAAATTTGTCTGGAAGCATACTTTCATGACCTCTGCTGCTAAAGCCTTTACTCTGAATATAATGATGCTGTACCATCATGATGGTAGCTGTTATTTTGAGTACTGATTTTAAATCCTTTCCCCTAAATAGTAAATCTTCTGCCAGATCTTGTTGACTCCAAGGACAAAGTACGTTCCTCAGGAATTAGATTCTGTGCAAAAGTTCTAGGACCTTCCGAAAATCAGTCTTGTCCATTTCTGTGGGTGTGTTGTCATAGTGAAAAGTGGCAAAATATAAGTTCAGTTTGGTTTACTGCATGAAAAAGTGGGTAGCTTCTGGTATATTGTGTAAGGTGTTGGTTTGTTTGTTTTTTTTTCAAGAAATGATGGTTGCTTAGGACAGATTCAGGTCTGTTCTACTTTCAGACTAAATTTTCAATTTATTTTAAAGCTTATACTAATGCCAAGTGAGTGTAGCAGTTGACATATTCATGTTTTTATTTTCTGGTGCTTTACAGTCAGTCACAGTCACATAAATAATGAGTAATCGGGTTCATTATCTTGCCTTCCTCACAGGCAGAAAAGTAAGACTAGGCTTTTCAAACAATTGTAATTTTTGACACTGGAAAGAAAAACTTTTAAAAAACTGGCCTGATCTATAAAATTGCTTTACCTAAGAATGGATGATAAAACAGTTGAGAGTTTATGGGTTAGGATTAGAGAGCAGTCCACCATGGGTGACATTCTGCTGGGTGTCTGCTACAGACCTCCTGATCAGGAGGAAGGAGAAGATGAGGTCATTTTGAGACAACTGGAAAAAGCTTCATGTTAGCAGGCTCTGCTCCTTATGGGAGACTTTAACCACTCCAGTATCTTGCTGGAAGTGCAACAGAACAGCACAGATCTAATCTAGAGCTTAACAAACCCAGGAGATTTCTGGAGTGTATGGAGGAGAACATCTGACAGAGGTGACTGAGGAGCTAACAAAGGGCACACTGCTGGATTGGGTACTGACAAGGACCAAACTGCTTAAAAAACATAGATGCATAACTGCATGCATACACATGTATGCACATGTGTGCGCCCATGCACACATAGAGAAGTCGTTCTTTTCTTGTCTTTGTGTGTAGTTGAGGCTTTAGATCCATCTTGTCTTCCAGAAAACAAATTGAATGTTGCCTAGGGAGACTGAAATACAACAGCTGTGGAAACTGAATCTGTATGTTTATTCCTCAAATTGGTACAGCCAAGACAAAAGCATCCTGCCCACACTTAGAGGCACTTCAGTAGTAGTAAAATAGTAGTACAGTGTTCTTTGCCCATTTATATTCATTCATGGGTCTGTATTGCCTTGCGTCCTCAGCTGTGATGGCTTTTATCATGAAGCACCTTGGACTGGCCTGTGACAATTTCCTTATTCAATGTAGTCTTGCAAAAAACCTCTTACCTTCCTCTGTTCATCAAAATAAAACACTATGTCAGTACACTTTTCCCGAGTATGTAAATACTGGAGATCTACGGTACACACTACCAACAGTGTCTTGATTCATTCATACTTCTTCATCTTAGGGCTGATAGATCCAGTTAGTGTGAACTTATTATAACAATTTTTAAGAAGTGCTTAAAGCAAACAATAGTGTTGTTTCAGAGGCTACCCTAACAGTGTTGTGTGGAATTAATCTTGTAGCAGCTAATTGGTTTGTAGTAAGATGAAATGATTAATTTCCCAAGAGTGATTAGCTGTATGTTTGCTGACATACACTGTGCCCTATCAGTTTTTCATGGTATCTGCTCTAACTTGGTTAGTCTTTTGTTTGCCTCTAGCTGTATTACTGATTTGCTAGTTGATTATGGTATCAGCCTCAAGACACTCAAATATTAGGCTAGACTGAGGTTCCCTAGCAGTGTTTCCTAGCGTATTGTTAAAAAAGTTTTACTGCTATTTGTATTTATCAGCTCTTTTCCTTTAATAAAACTTCCATCAACTAGATCAACTGACATCAACTAGATGATCTTTAAGGCCCCTTCCAACCCAAACCATTCTATGATTTTATGATTGTATGAGGCAGAGACCTTTTGAATAAAGGCATCATTGCTATCGGCAGCCGTTAAAGCCAGGATGTGAATGGAAATCTTAGTCTTTCATTGGTGCTGGATGAAAAGAATTTTGGGGAGACTTGAAATGGAAGTTACAGGTTCTAATGTTAGCCTGTCTTGTGGAAGTGTCTGCATATATGTGCACAAATGTATACTGGTGATCTAAGAGCAGCAATTTCATACAAAGATAAAAAGTATAATGTGCTAAAACTTTGCTTCTGAACAAGAGTGATGATTGCAATACAGAAATTGTCCAGGTGATGTTGTCTGCATCATTTGCAATCATCCTGCTACTTCGGCAAATAAATTCTTCTGCTAGCATCACTGAAAGTACTACAGGTAATTGATTTTTTCACTGTCAGGTCTGGGGTGCACTTCAGTCTTATAAAGTGACAGCAATGCAACACTGCAGATCTCTCCCATCCACATGTATGTTTGTGCGTGTGGTGTCATATTGAAATTAGAGGCTGTTGCTTGTACAAGCCAATGTGTGTTGACATTCTTGTGGTATTTCAGGACAGATAGAAGAAAGGACAGTGTCTGTGTTGGGCCACTATTAACTGTCTCTAGGCAGTACAATACGATATATCTTTCATCTCATTTCACTGAGGAGCAATGCCAGGATATGACTGCAGATCTCTGGAGGCTTTTATAGGCCATGCGATTTAATGTCCCAGCAGAGTTTTTTGACAAAAAGTATAAGCCTAAAATGTCAGGTTTGGATTAGATAGATATATTTTTTTCAGGAAGAGCAGACCAGGGAAATGTACAAAGCAACTAGGAATTTCTTGAAACAATAATCGCAATTGGTCACTGTGACAGTTTGGATGTAGTGGTGCTATTTATTTATGTCTTACATGTTCATGAATGTGCTGCTGAATGTAGAGAAGCATTTTTAGGCTGATTTTAGGAAGGCTATGGCAACAAAAAGGACAAACCTGTTTCATTTATAGTATTGTTTGTTTACAGGTTTCACCAATTACATGCGGAGTCCGTCAGGGGACATATTCAACCCAGAACACTACCAAGTGAATCAGGACATGAGTTATCCTTTGAGTCACTATTTCATTACCTCTTCACATAATACCTACCTCATGGGAGATCAACTGATGTCCCAGTCTAGGGTGGACATGTATGCATGGGTGCTACAATCTGGCTGTCGTTGCGTAGAAGGTAAAGACCAAAAAGGAATCATCAGTAGACTCCATAGTTTTTTCTCCTCTGTAAAGGAAGATTCATGACTTCTGCAGAAGACACGGTAACTGGGTAGAGGAAATATCCTAGAAAAATGCTGTCTTCCCTTCATAAAGAACAACAAAACACTGTTGCCATACAATGGACAAATTTTCTTGAGCATGGAAATAAGGCAGACATTTAAAGAGTAGTGTCATTGGTACCAAGGAAAAAAAATTGTAAAAATATTTTACTAACATTCAGTAGAATGTATTGGTGTATATACTTTCTAGTCAAGTATATGACAACCAAACTGGCAAATATGGCAGAGTTCCTGCTACACGTAAGAGGAGAGCTGATACTTCTGATAAAGGAAGTAGGGGTTTATTGTGTGAAATGTTGAGAGTCTCTGCAGTGACCAGGAAGCCTTCACGTGAAATTTCTTCTGACGTTTGTAGTGCCCTTCTGAGACGGAACTTGTTTCATAATCTTCTTTAATATCCTGACCATCAAAGTGTTTTCACAGTTTTTCAGAAGGCCAGTATTATGGTTTGCTCAGGTTAGATTGTGGACATGCCAATGCATGCTTCAGAGGAGTAAAACATTTCATGGAAATATGATTGTGAACAAGTATAAGGCAAAATCCAAGGAGGGCTAGAGATGATTAAGTCTTGTCTTTGCTTGTGGTGTGAGAAGCTTGTCTAAGATTCTCTACTTTCCTTTTCAGGTTCAGTAGTAGCATAATGAAAGTAATGCTATGCTATATCATCTCTCTTGCTGTCATAATACTCCTCAGCACTTGTTAAAGGGAGATCTTTTTTGCTTGGGGCTTTCTCAAACAATGGGAACAGTCATCTGTACACAGTAGAATGTCAAGGCAAGGAAGTTACTTCAGAGGAAGGGCATCCAGCACAGTGAAGAGGGAGATACAGACAAAGGGTGGGAATGAACAGATACCCTGGTTTGTTGGGTAGATGTCTGGCTGGGTTGCTGAAGGGAATTGCAGGGTGTGATAGTCTTCCACAGATGGTGGCCCCAGACGTTACTTGGCTGATGGGTGTCATTCCTTCTATTCTACAGTTGACTGCTGGGATGGGCCGGACGGTGAACCAATTGTCCACCATGGATACACTTTGACTTCCAAAATCCTCTTCAAAGATGTGATTGAAACTATCAACAAATACGCCTTTATCAAGAATGAGTATGTATACAGTCTTTTGAGTCTCAGGGCTATAAACTGGAGTGTTCCCTGTCATCCTTGTAAAGGCAGTTAGTGAAAATCCAGCTTGTTCCTGCATATGTCAGACAGAATTCTGAGAGGTTTTCTGTGGGGACAAAGCCTTCAGAAAGAAATAACAAGGCAAAACTAAGTAGGGGTATTCTGTACGTAGTTTTGGGGCTGTCTTTATCTCATTCGTAGAAGACCAGAGGATCAACATGTTTTGACAGTGAATGTTTTTAGTGGATGTCTGATGGATGTATACTCCAGTGATGCCAAGGTTACACTTGGTTGCTCCAGGGACAGGAAGCAAGTCAGGCAGCAAAGGAATACAAAGAGACAGTAACCCAATTGTGGAGAAAGCAGACTGTTCAAGAGAAATAGGTTATTTTCCCTACCTGTACATTGCTCAGGAAATCAGAGAATTATACAATGGGAAGTTTCATACCTTGGCAGTACTGTCCTCCTCCTGAGTGTCAAAATGTGTGTGTGTCACCCTATCTATTTTTTTTAAGATAAATTAATTTATCACTCTAAAAATTTTCCAGTAGCTTCTCCAAAGCAGTCCATCTGTCATCATTAATAGATCTAAACTTGCAGTGAAACTTCAGCCCAGATAAACTTATTGTGAGCCTGAAATTTTTGGAGTTTGCCTGAAGACATGGTAAATAAATCAAAGGAAAGCTGGCCAGCAGAATATATGACAATGCTTCTGAAATTGTTGCAGTTTTTAAAAGCTTTGCAGAAAGGTTAACTGGGACTGTGTTAAAACTTACTATTTGTGGTGAGTTTTTTTTCTTGGTAAGTATTGATGCTCAGTGAGAGTTTGTTACTGAATGAAATTTGTTTTAGATTTGCAGGTGTTTTCTTTCCCAGGATAGGCTGGAGGCATAGCTGTTGGTAGGCTGCAAATTCAGCTGAGGAGCTAGCTTTAGCAAAGCTAGGAATTTAACTGTAGTCATCAATTGGGAAGGTTTTGTCCTGCAGGCATTGTCTGGCTGAAAGCCTCATTTTTCCTGATGAGGAGCTAATGAGGGCCAGATGTCAGGATAGACGTATTTTTATTCATAATTATTTTAAAATTAATTAATCCCTCATAATTCAGCCCTACAAAACTGGACTGTATACTGGCTTTTGTGTTTATCCTAAAAATGCATAATCTCTAAACAGAAATCCATCTTCAGTGTGCTTTAGTATGGCACCAACCACACTGGAATTGATGTTTCACAAATCTTATCTTGATGCTTTTCAAACAACCAGGCACTGTTATTTCTTGTCCTTAGCCTGGAGAAACAACAATAAATGACAACAATAAAGCTAAATCTAGAAATAATACTTACTGTCTTTGTAGAAGAGGCTTTATCTGCAGACATGTTTGTATGACACTGCTCTGTTGCTAGCTAGAAAAATTCTCATGGAAGAACTAACACAACAGGTTTATCACTTGGTTGTTGGAAGTGGGAAGGTAAAGAGAAAGCCCGTTTGGGGATCTTTTCAGTTGTTGGAACCTTTATTTACTTTTACCTGTGAGAGTACAAGAGGGCTGAAGCACCATGTTGTGGTTTAACCGCAACTGGCAACTAAGCCCCACGCAGCTGCTCGCTCAGTGCGCCGCGGTGGGATGGGGGAGACAATCGGAAGGGTAAAAATGAGAAAACTCATGGGTTGAGATAAAGACAGTTTGATAGGTAAAGCAAAAGCTGCGCACACAAGCAAAGTAAAAAAAGGAATTCATTCATCATTTCCAATCGGCAGGCCAGTGTTCAGCCATCTCCAGGAAAGCAGGGCTCCATCACACAGAACGGTGACTTGGGAACACAGCTCTGAAGGTCCCCCCCTTCCTTCTTCTTCCCCCAGCTCTATATGCTGAGCATGACGTCATATGGTATGGGATATCCCTTGGGTCATTGGGGTCAGCTGTCCTGGCCATGTCCTCTCCCAACTCCTTATTGACCCCCCAGCCTCCTCGCTGGTGGGGTGGGGTGAGAGGCAGAAAAGGCCTTGACTCTGTGCCAGCCCTGCTCAGCAGTAAGGAGAACATCCCTGGGTTATCAACACTGTTTCCAGCACAAATACAGAACATAGCCCATATTGGCTACCTTGAAGAAAGTTAACTCCATCCCAGCCCAAACCAGCACACGAATTGGAGAGGAGAGTTGAAGGCACTGGCTGTTTAGGTTTTTGTTATGAATGGCTTGCTATGAATCTTGCTAGAATAGGAAGTGGAGGTCAGGACTGGGTAGTGTAAGCAGGCAAAAAGTGTGCTCTGGAAAAAAACACATCAGATCAGATTGCAGAACTTTAATTATCCTGTGGCTGTCAAAAAATTGACCATTCAGTTTGGAATGAGTAGTGGGGTATCAATCTTGTGCCCACACTGATTTATCTAACCCCTGTGGATTTAATTGATGGTGATGCCTGTTACAGGAATGGCTCAGACAGTAATAACCCCTTATCTTCTTAATGCTATAAAAGCTAAGTTTGCAGTTGGTGATACTTGCTTATGTCTCTGCATAACAGGTACCCTGTTATCTTGTCAATTGAGAACCATTGCAGTGTCATTCAGCAGAAGAAGATGGCTCAGTATCTTATAGAAATTCTGGGAGACAAACTGGATCTGTCTTCTGTGCACAGTGATGATTCTACCAAGCTCCCTTCACCAGCAAGCCTTAAAGGGAAGATACTGGTTAAGGTAAAAACCTGCTTTCTTTGTTCCATTCCTCTTTTTGTTTGTGATGATTATGATTTCTGCCTGGTTATCACTTATACCCTAATTTAAATCATTTTACAAAAAACACCTTTTAAGAACCTAGTACTTAAGGTTCTGAACAAGTGTCGTCTTATTCAAGAAGAACCTGATTGCATGCTTTGAACAATTTTTCTTTTTTTTTTCTTTCTTTTTTTTTTTTTTTTTTTAAATGTGTGATAGCAAGAGCTGCATGCTAACCTGCCTGTGTAATCATTTTATCTTCTAGGGCAAGAAACTTCCAGCCAACATCAGTGACGATGCAGAGGAAGGTGAAGTTTCTGATGAGGACAGTGCTGATGAGATTGATGATGATTGTAAACTAATGAATGGAGATGTAAGTTAAGTGACTCTTTGAATGTAAATGTATGTTAAGTTTTCCCATCCCACTGAGAAGAAACCTTATACGAGTTCTCTGGGATGTGGATGCGATCTAATCTTTGGGATTAATCATAAATCTAAACCTTCACAAGGTTCTAAACCTTCATGGGGACAGATTTGATAAAAATGCATTTTTGGCAGTACCAGTTCTAGTAGTTATGTTTCAAGTTTGGAATTTTCTGTCTTTTGATATTTTTAATAGTAATATCTCATGATTCTTTATTGCATCATAGTGTTCTTCCCCTCAAACACTAAAAAGAAAGGAAAAAAATTCTACTTATGTCAAATTGTGGTCATTGTTACAGAGCATCCCTTTGCATTGCTGAATCCTGGGTTTAGTTGATTTTTACTATAAGGAGGTGTTAAGAAGGGAGAATATTTTAATCTCTGATTGCTTCAATCTGAAAATCCCTTTATCCTTTTTAAAAGTTAAAATTTTTTGTCATTTTAATCTTCTGGCAAGTGACATTGCATCTTACAGAAACAATATAAAATACACATCAAAAACATTTAATAACATAAGCTAGATTGCCTTGGAGAGAGATTGCGTTTTCAGTGCTCTCTCCCTCAGGCTATTTCCTCATTCTGTGTTATGGATTTGATCCTTTTCATCTAAAATTAAAAGAGAAACTTCTTTATGAATTAATCTACCAAAGAGGAAAAATAATTTGTTTGTTGTTTTTAAATTATTATGTTTAGCACATCACTTTTCACTATTTTAAAGCTGAGATCTGTGATGTTTTAATACTTCATGGGTTTTGGCACTTTCTTGTTATATGATGCGGCTTTTCAAAGTGGAAGGTATTGTACAGCCAGTGGTGATACAGTTGGGTCCAGCAGGCTTTCCACCTGTGTAAGATCAGGCCTGGTATCAAGGTATGACCCTTTTCAGTGGGGAGAAAATGAGTTGAAAGTTGAACCAAAAGCTTTTGCAACCCATGTAGTTGACTGTACAGGGTAACTAGAACTATAAAAAAGAAATAAAATGAGAATTGGACATTTCTTCACGTTAAAACTTCACTGTGATCAACAAAGTTCACTCAGCTTGTTTTCCTATGTTTTCTAGTTCTTTTGTCTGTATCCCAAGTATGGCAGACTGTTTCCAATATCCAAAGGAAACAGCAGGTGATTTGACAACGCTGCTGAAATCAAGGGCACTGTGGTGCTTAAGATCCTGATTTTGCAAGTTTTCCATATAATTTCTAGACTTAAAGATGGTTTGTTCTGAGAAGATCCTAATCCAGATACTTGAACAAGCAGAAATGTTAGCAGGTCTCTCGTTGCTAGAAACTGCTTTTCCATGATTCTTTTCAACTTAGCCCACGCATACCCTATTTATGAAGAGGTGTCAAATAATGCTTATTTTTCTTCCAATAAATGGATGGAGAAATTAATGCCAGAAAGAAAGGTATCATCTTCCATAATAAAATTAAGTAGTAACATGTTGTGGCTAGGTGTATTATTCTCACTAAAGGCTCAGGACGCATTGCTTCGCTGACCTCATTGTATTTGTTACTAGCAATTCACTTTGCTGTGAAGTTTACTGATGCTTTAAATCCGAGATTTGCTACATCTGGGTGGCTTTCCAAGCCAAAATTTGAAGAGCTCAGAAAATCATAGCTTGTTTCATGACAAATTTAACTGGGAATTCTTAAGGCCTAGTGAGAAAACACAATCTGTCATCTCTTGAGACCTGGGATTGTGAGTTTATGCCTCACGGATGAAAAAGAAAGCTCTAGATTTCTATTTTTGTTTCCCCTACTTCCTCACGTGGACTATGATGTACACAGAAGGAGGGAACAGGAGTTCTTTTACGTTTTGTCCTTGAACTGCTGAAATCAAGATTCTAAAGCTTCTCCCATTCCATCCATTAGAATCTTGCATCTATGGTAGCTGCAGAGTCAACCCTGACATAGCATATGAATGCTGTCCATCAACCCCAAGGAGTGAGAGAAATATCGTATACTCAAGAGTTTCCACACATATCCATTACTATTAAATTTCTGTGAAGAATGGCTTATTGAACAGCACAATGGAATAGATCAGATTTTTTACTAAATATGTACTGCAAAACATAGCATATGTTAATCCAGTTCAGTATGGGGAGTCATCTCAGTAACAACTATTTCTATGTTAGCACATCCTTGGCTTGTAACAGACATTACATCTGAATAGCTCTGCTAACAACCAGTCTTGGTTTAATTTAACTCCATGCAATGCTACAGGCTTGGGGAGGAGTTGCTGGAAAACTGCCTGGCAGACAAAGACCTGGGGGTGCTGGTCGACAACCAGCTGAACATGAGCCAGCAGTGTGCCCAGGTGGCCAAGAAGGCCAATGGCATCCTGGCTTGTATCAGGAATGGTGTGGCCAGCAGGACCAGGGCAGGGATCGTCCCCCTGTACTGGGCACTGGTGAGGCCGCACCTCGAGTGCTGTGTCCAGTTTTGGGCCCCTCACCACAAGAAAGCCCTTGAGGTGCTGGAGCGAGTCCAGAGAAGGGCAACGAAGGTGGGGAAGGGTCTGGAGCACAAGTCTGATGGGGAGCGGCTGAGGGAGCTGGGGGGGTTTGGTCTGGAGAAGAGGAGGCTGAGGGGAGACCTGATCGCTCCCTACAACGACCTGAAAGGAGGTTGTAGCAAAGTTGAGGCTGGCCTCTTATCCCAAGTAACCAGCGAGAGGAGAAAAGGAAATGGCCTCAAGTTGCACCAGGGGAGGTTTAGATTGGATATTAGCAAGAACTTCTTCACCAAAAGGGTTGTCAGGCACTGGAACAGGCTGCCCCGGGGAGGGGTAGTCACCATCCCTGGAGGCATTCAAAAGGCGTGTAGATTTGGTGCTTAGGGACATAGTTTAGTGGTGGACTCGGCCGTGCTAAGTTAATGTTGGACTCGATGATCTTGAAGGTCCTTTCCAACTTAAACTTAAACATATGATTCTATGAATTAGAACTGTTTTAAGTAGTTTTACTCTTTCATCACTTCAGACAAGCTATTTCCACTTTAGATCTAGCATCTGCTTGAGGGCCTCATGTGCTTCCATACCTTACATTAAGTCTGACACCAAACTGCAGGTAACTGCTTCACATTATGCAAAAGAAGACCCTCTTTTTTTTTTTTTTTTTTTCCTTTTTTTCTTGCATATAACTTTTTAGTTTGCATTAATCCTGGCTGGAATTACTGAGACTTTTGCCATCGCTGCCTAGTTTAATGATTCTGTTTTGTTTGTAGGCATCTGCTAATAGGAAAAGAGTGGAGAATATAGCAAAGAAAAAACTTGACTCACTGCTAAAAGAATCCAAAATCCGGGACTGTGAAGATCCAAACAATTTTACGGTTACCACTCTACCATCATCAGGAAAGACTGGTCTAAAACCAGATAGTAAGAAGGTGAACACATTTTATTGTACTTCACTTACCCCTAGACCTGATTGTTGTTTTGTTTGTAGCTACATAGCACTATTATTTCATAGCAATGATGCTTGTTCTTTCAAAGGTGGATGTCTAAAGTTGGGCTTTTAAATCTGTTTTGAGACTCCCTGATAAAGATAGTGCGATTTCCCTGAGGTGTCTGCAGCTATCATAGTACTAACGAAACTAAAGAATACTCAGCACTTCCCTTAAAACAAGATAGTGTGAGTCCCACGATGAAGTTTGCGGAGTGTATTTGCCATTAGGTCCCTGTCTCCTCTCTAGGTTAACTAGAATAATACAACTGAAGAATAAGCAGAGAGCCAAAACATTCACCTAGGATGTGGGAGATCCAGGTTTATGTCCCCAGTCAGACTTAGGTGGAACTGGGATTTTGGAGCGATGTTTTCCATTCTTGGATGACTGCCCTGACCAGAATTTCTTTGGTTATTTCAATATATAAGAAAACATGTTCCCTTCTTCTGTAATATTTTTGTCATGACATCTTATTAATGCTTCATCTTCCTTATATAAAAGCTATATTATAAGGAAGAATACTTTTCACGTTTATGTCCATTTAGTAGAAGCTTCTTTTTAATTTGCTGAAAATGAGATTTTAATTTTAGCTGGTTTTATGATTCACATTTGATGCAGAGGGATAGTCTGTTATTGCAGATGAATAATGAAATATGGCAGTCCGTCAATTTATAAACTGAAATGCTAACGACTTCTTTCTCCAAAGTTCAATGACTTTCTCCAGTGTCTTCAGAGAAAGAGGTGTTTAGCATTTCCATTTGTTGTTTTATTAGCTTACTGAATAAATCATATATTATTGACTTCAGATTCGTAGCTGAATTCATTCAGTGAATGATGATGCCAGGTGAACATCACTGTCAGATACAGAAAGCTTTTTTTCTTGCTCACACAGCAATTAGAGCATGAAATGTACACATGAAATGACTTTTCAACAGAAGGACTTTTATTTTCCATTATAAAAAGTGCATATGAAAGTTGGGCTTTTTTTCCTTGGTTCTCTATGTTCTATGCATTTACATTTGTATTTTAATTTTATACTAATGCTTATTTATAAAAATGTACTCACTCCAAGACTTCATGAACTTCAGGCATTGTCATTTTAGAATTTGCAATAAGCCAGAAAAAGCTTAGGAAGATTGTTGCATGCAAGTGAAAAAAAACGGAGATCTGGCAATAATAAGCAGGTGTACTGACTAGTGATTAAAACTGGATGAGAACTAAAAATCAGCTTCCCAAAACTTTCTATGGCACTTTTGTATGTACTTTTAAGTCTAATGGTTTACAGGATGTGTCAGACTGTTATTCCTGTAAGATTCACTACAAGGCCAAGACTTCAAGAATCCTTTTGCATAGGTGTTAACCAGAATAGTCTTGTGTTTTATTAGTCTAGCAAACAATAAAACTGTAAGGTCATAGTAAAAACCATGGGCACTATTGAAGTGTATACATTTTTAGGGATTATGAGAATTTTGTTTCTTTTTTACCATGGAGTATCCTAGTAAAACTATGTAATTGGCATAAATAAGTCATGTCAAACTATGCTTTTCAATTATTAAGCTATAAACCAGTGTGGTGTCAATGAATGTATGTGGTATGGGGGCATTCAGACTTTGCCTAGACGAAAATAAAATTTGGGTTAGGTATTTGTGTGATTTCTTTCTGCTTTGAAAGTTCACATGGACAAAAGTGATGTCAATTATTGCCAGGGTACAAGGTCTTGTACTCAAGTTGTGTTTAAAAAAAAAAAAATTTAAAAATCTGCATTGGTCCGGTCCAGTTCTGTTAACGTTTTTGGGAGGATTACTTCTCAAACTATTTCTGATGATGTTCAGATATGCTGTCTGTAGCACTCTATTTGGTCTGCTACATTATTCTTTCTGTTTTGGTCACTTTAGAATAAACTTGAGGATGATGTGGAATCTGGGGAAGACTTCAGTACCAACAAAAGGCACAGCCGGTCATTGATGGGCAGCTTTTCTAAACGCAAGGTGAACCACTTGGTAAATTAGGACTACACTAAATATTGTGTTCTTGGACAGGTTTTTTCTTTGCACACGATGGTGGAGAGGAATATTAGAATTGCATTGTCTGACAGAGGCTTGCTGTCAGACTGTTCACTGAATGGATAGGCTGGATAACAGTGCATATAACATATGTATATATAAAATATATATATAATAGTGCATAACAGATAGTTTCAGTTTACATCAAGGTCTAAAAGTATTCAAGATCTAATCTGAAAAACACAAAAATTCATTTGTACCTTTTATCTGAGGATTTGTGATTCCTTTATAAAATGTCTCTGACCTTGGGCTGAGACTTCCCCATGTGCATGCGTATCGTTCTGCAATACTGAGTATTACAAAAGCTATCATTTCCCATTTTCTGTAAGTAACATATTCACGGGCATAACAAAGCAGAATTGTATCCACCTGCTCAAACGTTGATCAGATAGTTATGATACTATGGTTTTATTTCCTTGTGGCACAGAAAAAAGGAAGCAAATTGAAAAAGGCAACAAGTCTGGAAGAAGGTGAAGATGATTCAGATTCCCAAGGAAATTTATCCAGGAGCTCTGCACATTACAGCAGGTTTGTTAACAAGTGATTTGGCAATTTTATTTCTAAAAAAGATACCTACATAAATGTACCCACTAAATAGATATGCTTCAAGTCTAGAAGCCAATTTGTTGAAGGCTGCAGGCGCGTGACAGGAATCTGGTATAAGGGTAGATCCAGTGGCTGCCACAAGATCATCAGAATGATCTCTTGGTGCCATTCAGACCAATTAGCAAAGTACAGTTGACCTTGTATGTGTTTTGAGCTCTTACCATCTCATCTAGCTGACATATAGGCCATTTGACCCAGCAAATCCATTAAAGGTGGATTTACAATGTATCGGGTCCCCAGCCCATTTTTTTTTTATTGATTTATAATTTGCCAGATGAAGTTGCATCAACATTCAGGTCATGATTTTGATTTTTCTATTGAAATTGCCTCTTCAAATATCCTGACATCAAAGATCCTTTGCAGAATGGTTGCTTAGGCTTTAGGCTTCAAAAGTAAGAAATCAGATCGAGCAGTTCTCTAGGATACTTTGGAGATTTCTTTGGGAGGTTAGTAGATGTTCTGTTAGTGATAACCTGAAGCAAATGAGGAGGATCAGAGCATTACTTTCTTACAATTTCTTTGAGATTTAAAAAGGTTTTTTGTTAGCACTTGACTAGAGAAGTAAATATATGTATATGAATATGTATTCCACCCTTTGGTCAAAGCAGTTTAGAGTCCTCCCTACGAGATCTTAGCAGGTGAATATTTAGGTCTGCCATTAACATGTCAGGACAGGACATACTTGTTCTCTATGCTTTCATGCCATTGGTTCCACTACTTCTGTGCTTTGACAATGAAGCTCTACGTAGCGTAAAGCTACTAAGTACCTCCTTGGTGGAAGAAAACCTTCTTATATTTCTTTATCCTGTTTTATTTTTAAATATTGAAAGATAAAATTTACCCCTTAATTAATGGGAAATTAATTTGTTTTATCTTTCTAGGATAAATCGACAGAAGAAAACAATGAAGCTGTCCAGAGCACTCTCTGACCTGGTGAAATACACAAAGTCTGTTGGCATCCATGATGTTGAAACTGAAAGTAGGTTGAACTAAAAGTCTGCTGAAAATAATTGCTTTACAAAGAAATTGAAAGGTTTATGTTCTTACATATCTTCTTATTAAAAGCTGGTTTTCTGTGTTTCTCCCCCATCCTGAAAAGATTTTAACAGAAGAGCTGCACACAATAAAGCTATACTATTTTGAAGTAGCTGACCACTTGCCATTTAGAATCCACAGAGTGAGTCTAGAGTTGTGTGACATCTTCCGTAAAGGAGAAAAAGTTACTACACGTAGTAAGTAATACACATGTAGTCTTTGCTAGCTTGTATAAAAGCTGCTACACAACACTTACATCCTGGGAAATAACAGAGGACTTAGGTATGCTCTTGGCAGAATGGTCTGAAGAGCATTTCAATCTTAAAGTTTAGATTTTTAAGTCAAATCTGATGAAATATCAGCATTAAATTTCTAGAATATTTCAGTCCTCTTTCTAAGTTTTCTGCATCTTACTTTGACAGGAATCAAATTTTAGTTAAAAGTGTCAGAAAGAGAGGATTGCTTGCCAGAAAACATAACCTGCCTTGAGCAAATTCAAAAAATCTGAAAGAATTTTTTTTAAACTTCTTGATGAAGATTCAGGTCATTCATTGTATTCAGCTTCATTTTCCCAACCATAACTCCTCCAATAAGCACAATGATTTTGCTGTAATGTAAGAAAAGCATAGTTCCCTCTGAGTGGATTTTGTTCAAATGATACTTGATAGTTATAAAGGACTACTGCTATGTAGTTTTAATGCTTTATCTAGGTATAATAAATAAATAAATAAATAACTTCTAATCTCCTCCTCTCTTCTTCGCAGTCTCTTCCAGCTGGCAGGTTTCATCTTTCAGTGAAACAAAAGCCCACCAGATACTGCAGCAAAAGCCAGCTCAGTATCTACGTTTCAACCAGCATCAGTTGTCCCGCATTTACCCATCTTCTTATCGTGTGGACTCTAGCAACTACAATCCTCAGCCATTCTGGAACGCTGGCTGCCAACTTGGTGAGCAGAAAGAAAACTTGTTTATTTTTGTTTTATTTTGGGAGGGATGTTTTAATAGGAGCTCAGGAATCACCCCTTAAAATACTCCTAAGTTTTCTGCTCATCCAACTTTACTGCTTATCTGACAGATAGGTTACTTCAAACATGTGTCTTACATGCAAGTAGTGTCTGATAAATGGAAATAAATGAACTTCTCAAATGCAAGAGGACTTCAGAGTTCAGAGTCTTTTGGAGAGCTTCTCCCCTGAAGTTGTGATGTAGCTATAGAATTATTTTTCATAAAATGTTTTGAGTTTTTGCATCCAAGAAGTCAAACGTGAAAGTGTATTTAGGTGTCCTTCCTTTAACTGGGTTGTACAAACAAAAATGTTGTTAACGTACTCAGTAAGTAATACCACTTTTTTTTTTTTTCTTTTTCTTTTTAAATAGTTGCACTAAACTACCAGTCAGAGGGGAGAATGCTGCAACTGAACCGGGCCAAATTTAGTGCCAATGGGAATTGTGGTTATGTCCTCAAACCAAACTGCATGTGTCAAGGTAAGAAAAAAGAGCAAAATAAGTGGATCACTTGTTGCATGAGAAGAGTGGGTGTGGATCCTTATTATAGTTTGTTTAAAAATGCATTTCTGAAGCTAGAAGCAAATGAGCCAGAAGGTATCTATAACTAAAGTCATCCCCAAAATTGCACTTCTTTCACATTATGTGACTTCTCATTCTTACAGGTGTCTTTAACCCAAATTCTGAAGACCCACTGCCTGGTCAATTGAAGAAACAGCTGGTTCTAAGAATTATCAGTGGTCAACAACTCCCAAAACCACGTGATTCCATGTTGGGAGACAGAGGAGAGGTATGGGACAATCGATGATTGTTCTTGCGCATTGGAGAAGGTTTATTTCCATATTGGCTAGACTAAGGACAAGGATTTAACTTCCTGCAGTTATCTGTCAGGAGACATAGAACACGAATAAATCAGGTCATTAGCATCCTAGATCTTTAGGTGGTTTTCTTCACTTCTAAGCATCATGGCAATGGTTTGATGTTTTTCCTCAAATTGTCAACACAGTGCCTCCAGGAGAAGCAAAGAAAGGCCAATAAGCTCATCGTGATGCGTTTCTACTCACCATAGTACTCTAAACGTCCTCCTTCCTCCAAAATACCCTTGCAAATAGAGCTAAGTCACTCCGTCTCTTAAAATATAAATGTAGAAAACTGCTGAGTTTGTCAGCAAGGCAAGCAGAGTTACTTGGGAGTCCTTCCCTCTGCACGAATCTGCTCCTGGTTCTCCATTTAGCACAGTATTATTACATGTTTTCTTTCTGTCCTTCATTTTGGCTTCTGTTGTGTGATTATTATTTTTTTTCTAATTTTTTTTGTGTGCTCTCTTGTTTGTTTTATAAAACCCCTGGCAACTTCACTTAATGAAATATTGGACTGAAAGGAGCCAGATTTGCAACCTCTTGGCAACTTTTTAAAGAGACTTTCTTCATTTCTTGCGCTGTTTTTTGGTGTCACAATGTCATCCACACGACTTTGTTAAATATTGGTCTTTAATAAACGCTAGGATGAAGTTCTGTAACAAATTAAAATTTCCTTTTAGCCTTTTGCAATTAGAATCAAACCCTCAATGAGTTCTTACATGCTGGAATTTTATATGAATGTTGCAATCAGCTTCTAAATACTCTTTCTCCACAGAACTCTTTAGCTGACTATATCAAACCAGGTAAACTTCCCTAAAAAACAAAAACAGTATGGTCATACTGAGGCTTTAGTGAACCTAGCTATGCTTTAATTAATTTATTGCCATTTTAATTTCTTTCTTTATTTCTATTTTTATTAATATCACATATGCAACAGCACGGAATTTGTCCTAATTCAGATTGCACTCATATGTCAGATGATGAAGAATAATCTGTTGGAATTCCATTTTATCCTGAACAGTAGGGGAATTAGCTCATGCAGAACACAGTCTTGGAAGAAAACTATGTGAGACCATGAATCCAGTTCCCTACAACTGTTAACAGTCATGTTTTAAGTGATTACTCTATAAGTGCCTGCAAAACATACGAACTTACTCCCCACATCAGGAGCCAACAATATATGGGAAAGTTAACACTGTTAAGATAAAGTGCCTAAACAACTTTAAGAAAAAATCTGCACCCAGTCTGTCCAGAGACCAAACTCACAGTTAGTTTAACCCTGAGCAAGGGTTAGTTTAACCTCCAGCCAAGCACTTGTAGGTTGGCTCATCCTACCCAGTTCCCTGTGCTCCCTGATTTGAGCGGTGTCAGTGTCTGAGCTAAGTCAGGTGTCTACACTACATAAACCTACCCTCAGAAATAAAAGCCCTGTTGAAAGCTACAGTAAGTTAGATGGTGTTTAAAATTCCATGTTTCATTTTACATGTTTCCTTTGCATATAATTATACCGGAGAAAAATCAGACCTTTATTGCGCTGACTACTCTATGTTATGAAAAAGATTTTGTAGAACAGAGCTAGGCAAACAAGGTAAGACGTTTGACAAATACACTGTGTAGTCTTTCCTACTGAGAATGAGGTGTTTTTCAAAGAGTAACAAAAAGCAGATTTAACACATTTGATTTTTTTTCAGTGGTAAAGTATTCTATAGGGACATGGGCACAAGGAACATTTGTGTTCTCCTAAGCATCAAAAAGATTCTTCATTCTTGCTGTGATCACATTGGCTGTTTACATTCTTGGTATCTGAAAGCAGTTACGAGCTTTCTAAAAATATAATAGTTGATTATAGGTATTCTTGTCTTCAGTAGTACTTACTGGGAGATGGATGGTGGATTTGAGTATCGGGTTGCTGTTTCAAATGACACATCATTGAATGGGTCCAGCATAGGTTTTTATATGAGCCACATCAAGGCTGGAACCCAGATTAATCTTTTAAAGCTACCTGCCTTTTCCCACTCCTTGTGAATAGGGATAGAGGTGTCACCCTGAGACTCAACTCTGTCAAAACTTGTCATCCTTTCAGAGGACACAAGAGATACTTATACACTAATTAAAAAAAAAAACAATTACAGGAATATCTCTGTGGCTACCTAGTAGAATGTAAAGAGACTGTGCCAGGATGGTCCTCCTCTGTGATCCCTAGAATGTTCTTCTCCATGTTGCCTTCAGGGAACTTGTAATTCAGTTGAGGTTCACATTTAATTAAAAGAGATCTCAACAGTCAAAGGCTTCCTAGTCTTAGGTAATTACAGCAACCTTCTACAAGACATGCTCCAGTTTTTCAATCTTACATTCTAAGCAGACTTTCTTCCAGAAACGAAAGGCAGTAATAGGAGATGTTTGCCAATCAGCCAGAGGTAGAACTCATATCTCCCATTTGTTTTGACCATTGCTTTGTCCATTGTGCCATGATGACACTGAGACTTTTAATGGATGATTCTTACTGGGATTTTTATAATGTTGCTGCTTTAGAACATATTTATCATAATGTCTGTTTTGAATATATTATAAAGCTTTTACTCAAATATCCACTAAATTAGAAAACATTTGCAGACTAGTGTTTAAAATTAATTTTAGAACAGAGAAATAGAATAGAACAGAGAAATGATCACAAATGCATACACGATTATTCTAAATTATGCCTTTAGATGATTTAGCCAGAGATCTCTCATCAGCATAATAATCCGTTACAGAAAATCTCCAGACTAATAATTATTAAGACAATGATGTACAATGCCCACATTGTAAAAGTCATGTGCTTGAATTTCATCTTTGTCACTCTTTCTTTTAAATATTTGTTACTTTCTGTTTTCCAGATCATAGATCCTTTTGTTGAAGTAGAAGTTATAGGCTTACCTGTTGATTGCTTCAAAGAACAAACTAGAGTAGTTGACGATAATGGTAAGATTATGTGGGGTTTAGTTTTTTTATGGCTGAAACATCCTCTTTCAGGCAATTTTTGTTCATAAAGTTATGAGTAGGTGAAATTCGGTGCCTACTATGGTGAAACACTGAAAAATTGATTTAAGCGTTCTTGATGTTAATCAGACTTGGGTCTTGAATTGTTCAACTGAGTTAGAACAATGTTGTGAAGATCTTGGTGTAAAACAAGTCATTTGTCTGACTTCTTATTGTGTATGAGAAGGGTATTTTGAGCTTGCTATGATCAAAAGAAAGTCAGGTTGTCCAAACTCCTGCT